TAAAGTTTCAGATAATTTTCTGTTTTTTATTAATTTTTCTTCAAAATTTGTGGGAATTTCAACATTATCAACTCTTAACTCATGGCATGCAAAAAATGTATATATTGTCACACACAATTTTACTAACCTATCTTTGATGGAAAGAATATGTGCATGAATGGGACATAATTATTCCAGCATGTTTTTGCATGTGTGATTGGAAAACATTTTGTGGTTTAATCTTATGTGTTTTGCTGATGAATCCAGGAATAATTCTGCACTTATCTTTAATTTCTTCCAGGACACTTGTTCTATTTCATGAAATCTTATTCTTTTGATTTTGTTAAACCTCAGCCTTCTTTTATGAAGCATCATTTTATGAATATGAACTTCATTTTTACAATGTAACACACGTAGAATATACTGTAATGACAAGTTTTCAAGACCAAATTATTTTGGAAGTTGTGTGTCATGATTTGTCTGAATTCAGAGATTTTTTTTTCAAGAAACAAGGTACCTTTTGAAATATTTCAGAAAACGTTTTTACGAAATTCCAAATTATGAAGTGTGTTCAATTGAAGTGATGACATTATTTATAATGATTATTGTTTAAAAACATATCTAATAAAGGTTTTTTGAATTGATAGAATGACTTTGAAAATAATAGAAATAAGGAAACAATTTTTTAAGGAACAAGTCTACATTTTGAAATATTGCAGAACACGTTTTAATAAAATTCCAAATTATGAAATGTATTTGATTGAAGTGATGAAATTGATCATAATATGTAGTGTTTAAAAGATCTGTGATAAAAGTTTTTAGAATTGATGAAATATTATTCTAAAAATCATAAAAATGAGAACGTTTTTCAAGAAACAAGTCCACTTTTTGAAATATCGCTGTACAGTTTTATATACTTCCAAATTATGAAATGTTTTTGATTGAAGTGATGAAATCATTCATATTGATTATGGTTCAAAACATTTATAATAAAAGTCGCTTGAAATTATAGAATTACTTCAAAAATCATAAAAATAAAGATAAAAAACAAGTGTAAATTATGAAATGTATTTGAGTGAACTAGTGAAGTGATGAAATCATTTATAATAATTACTTTTGAAAAAATGTGTAATACAAGTTAATTTGAATTGATAAAAATTACTTTAAAAATCAAAAAATCAAGGCAAACTTTTTTAAAGAACCAAGTTTAAATTTTTAAATATTGCTGAACAGCTAGTGTTCATGTAATTCCAAAATAATAAATATACCTAATTAAAGTGATGAAATCTTTCATAATAATTGCTGTTGAAAAACTGTGTAATAAAAGTTATTTGAATTGATAAAATTACTTTAAAAATCATAAAAATAACGGAAATCTTTTTCAAGAAACACGTCTAAATTTTGAAATACTGTATTGCAGAACATCTTTAATGTACTTTAATTCAAAATTACGACATTTATTAAATTAAGGCGATGAAATTACTGTATTCATAGAAATAATAATCATATTAATATTCAGTAAATTGCCGATGATTCATAATAAGAATAATTTCGGTCTCCGTCAAATAGCTGCCATTTTGTCCGATTTTTCGTAATATAGCGAACGAAAAATTCGTTATAATGGGTTTAAAGACATTTTATTTGTCCCGATGGCTTCGTTGTATTGACCTTTAGTGATTCTTTTTTCTTTTTTTTTTTTTGCTGCTGCGTTTGTAATTTAATTTGTGTGTTCGTGTGTCATTATTATTATTATTATCATTATTGGTATTTTTATTGAAAGTATTTTTTTGTGTGGCATCATCAGGTTCCTTCCGGTGAAGGGCTACGACAAGACGCACGAAATCATGCGTGTGGACGCCACCATGACCAACTTCAAGGGCCGGGATCCCACCGAGTCGACGGCGACGAAGCCCCGGGTTTCCGTGACGACGGCGACGACGACGACGGCGACGTCTTCACCGCTGCATCATCTGCTCGATAAATCGACGGCGGCGGCGGCGACGGCCAAATTGCGCTGCGCCGTCGTGGCGGCCAACAATGCCAAACTCGACGACGTTTCCGTCTTGGACGACGACGACGACGACTGCCTTCTGATGGACTCGCAACACCAACGAGCAGGGGACTTGAATAAGAAGAATAAAAGGAATAAGCCTTTGCAGGAAGACGACGACGGCAAGGCGAAAAACAACGATCAACAATTGCCGCATCAACAGAATAATAATAATAATAATAATCAACAACATCACGAGCTCGTCGTGACAATTGCTGAAGAGTGATGATGATGATGATTATTATTATGACGAAGACGAGATGATTTCTTGTTGATGATGTTGTTGTTGTTTTTGTTTGTTTTTTTTTTTTTTGGGAGGGTTTTTTTTTTCCTTTTTTTCAGCTCGTCGAAATTTCAACTGAATTTTTTTTTTCACGACTCAGGTGCCATTTGTTCAGCGGAATTTTCGGGGAAGAAGTGTGATGATGGTATCGATTTTATTTTATTTTTTTGAGTGCCCTCTTTGTATTAGATTCTCTCTTGTCTTTCGGGAATTTAATTGATGGGAGGTGTTGTAATTGATTGATTGATTGATGGATTGAATGAATGGTTGGTTGATCGCACAAATATTCGGTGCTCGTCAGGAAAAGAAAAAAGTCGATTTGTGAGGTGGGTTATTATTTTTCATGTGGTCTGTTTCTTTTGAAAAAAATGTTCTTCGCATTTCTTTTTTTTTTTGGCTGAAGGAAATGCGGAAGATATATTTTCCGCTGGTTTTATAATTTTCAGGCTGATATTTAAGAAAAATAGAAATCAGCAGAGTTGGTGGGATATTATCTTTTTTTTGTGATGGAAATAATTGATGACGTTTTTGTGGGAGATTTTTTTTTTTGTGAGACCATGAAAGTCAGTGAAGGTATTTACTGGGTGGGTTTTTTTTTTTTTGAAGATCAATCTGCTGTTATTGAAGGATTATTATCATTTTTCAAATATGATGCATGTTGCTTCAGAAAATGTTTTGAATTTTATTTATTATCTTTTACAATATAATGGAAATTTTTGTGAGGAGTGACCTCTGCTGGAAGAGGACTTTTTTTGGTTATCAGATGCACACACCCACATTTTTTCAATTTCAAAAAATTCAATATTTTGGAAAATTCCATCATTAAAAAATAATATATTTTGTAAAAATAACAATAATGAATTGAATTACAGTTAAAGTTGTATTTCTTTGTACTATACAAAGTTTGAATTTTCTTGTCATTGGCTGCTTGATGTAATAATATATGATGATAATTCAGCATTGAAAATTATAAAAAAAAAATTCTGTTGAACTTCTAATGGATTGTAGCAATATGTTCTACAGTATTATGTAAAAAGAAAGCCTTGTAATGTATTGTAACAAGATTTTTATGACATGTGCCCTGCATAATTTGTGCAAAATAATTCTTCATTGTAATGCGATTTTACTGTATTAGTGTAAAACCTGCTTGTGCTGATGACACATAGTCCCATGAATAAATTTTATAGCTGTGTGCTGAGCTTGTACAAACCAGGGGTGACCAATACCTATACTGGCAGGAATTCTCTGAGGGCCCAGTGGAGTCCATCAATGTCACAGCAGGTGCCCATCCAACACCACCCATTCCCAGGATTTGTGATGGATGCAGAAGGAAACACTGTCAATGAATTTTTCAACAACAGCACGGTACTGCTTTTCTTTTTCTCTCAAACCTATGTAAGTCAAATTTTTCTGATGGCTTTTGGTTATTGTTTCCTTGAAATATGAAAGAGAAAATCAATAAAGCAAATTATTTTATGCATCTTGAAATGAAGTGAAAGACTAATTGAACAAATGAACCCGTGCCTCCAATTTCAGCAAGAAGTAAACTCTTCCAGAAGCACTTATAGGCACAGAATATCCTCATTTACAATGTCCAGCAATTTTTGAATTTTCCTTGTAGTAAAAATGTTTGTTTCCTTAACTGAATAAGTCAATTTTTTTCTGCTCCCTAGAAATTCAACTTGGAGAGGTTCAACTGTATTATCATTATTCAAGTCACTTTTCCCCCATGCAATGCAAAACTCTCCTTGTGAGGGCCCTGTTATACCGGTATATAAAACAGGGACATCCTGCATTAATTTCTGTTTCCAGTTTCAGCCAGGTGCTGCAATAGTTGGACCTTCAGAAGATGGAACTCAGTACTTATTGCTGTAGCAAAATACAGTGTGTGTCCACAGGATCCAACATCAAAAATTATTGCCTAATCCATGCTATTTTCTGCCCACCAAAACAAAATTCTGCAAAATTACTGGTGTTGTCTGTGGTGTCCCATGAAGCTGACAAGCACCAGCACTGTAACTTTCACAACATCAGTACCACCAACTATACTACTGCTAACATCTCAACCTCTGCTTCAACAAACATGGCTAGTGTTACCACCATTGCCACTTCCAGAGACACCAGCAGCCCCACCACTTTTAAGGGGAACCAACACCAGTACTGAAAGAACCAGACCTCTATACTAGGACTGCAGATGATCATGGCCATCAGCATGAAGAGGATGATTAATAAAACAGCAAATTCTCTTGGCTTTTTGCTGTTTGGAATCACCTGCTTTTTAGGACATTTGGGTACATATGGTTGGACATGTTTGAAGATTCAACATGACTGAACAAAAATTATGCTGGGGATGATAGGGTTATAGATCAGTTGTGAGAATCAAGTTGAGTTTAAAGTGACTTTAATGCTGGAGGATTTTGTGGCAGAATAATTAGATCACTAATCATATAATGCATGTCAAATTATCTAAAATGCTCTGGAATAATTAAATTGGGCTGCTGTTAGGGGCAGTCCATGTTAATTTAATATTCCAACCATGAATTTATCCATTTCAGCCAATCATCAGATGCAACATTGTAGATTCCTGGAAGGGAGAGAGTGAAAACCATAGAAGGTCACTTGCTCTTTCAACATTTTTGATTATCTTGCTCTTTTTCTCACAGTGGGCAAAATAGAGCAAAGTGTCAGGTTACTGTTGAAAAAAAAGAAAATATTTCAAGCATCAAAGCCCAAACTTTTCCCTCTTCTTTTTATTACTCATTGAAATTTTCTTGATTGTCATTTTTAAAAACCAGGGGGGCTTAAATTTGTTTTGCTTATTCCCAACTATGCATTATTTTTTGCTGGTATGATTTGCTCATCAGAACCTTCATTTGTTGAAATGATTATGTCAGGCAAAAGGATATTTTGCACAGTGGGGAAATGGAAGTGGATCAATTATTTTGTTGAAAAGAGGAACTTTCTCCTGGCACCATCAACCATGACTAAGGAAGATGGTGTCCAGCAATTCTGGTGTAAGCATGATCACATTCTGAAAGGGATAATGCAACATGTGACCATGAGTGTGTCAACTCCTTTATTGCTGGTGAGCATATGTGCTTGAAAACATGTGTTTTTATATCATTTAATATTGATCATGTCAATCATGTGTGAATTCAGTGCTATATATCAAAAACTACCCAAAAAAAGTAAGAGGGCTTCTGCAGAATATTCAGCATGGTTTTCCTGATCCTAATTATTTTCCAGTGCTGTACATATAAGTTACATCCAATCCATTGAGTCATGGTGGATTTTCACATGTTTCTGTGTAAAGATTATATACCATGAATATTTACATTAAATTACTGAATCTTCTTACAAATAAGCAAAAAGAAGTACAATAACAAATATTATGAAAACATTTAAAGTGCTGTGAATATCCCATATTTTTTTCATTGCATTTCTTGGACAGAATGAAATATTTTTTTCACACCATGCATTTCTCTGGGTATAATCAAGTCTTATCAATTGCTTTTCCATATGGCTTATGTCAAATGTGTGATAAGGAAGGCAATCAGGTGTAATGGTCAAGGATCTGTCCTGCTACAGAAGACATGACCTGTTTAAGGTCAATTTTCCCCTGACATTTCAGAGACAAATTTGCCACCTGAGCCAGGGTTTCAAGATAAAGAAAAGCAGTCAACATATACTTCCAGCCAGGAACATATTTGGGTGAGCATTGAATAATGGATGTGGGAACAATGAACTGTCTCAAGTTATCACATCAACCCAGTCTATTTCATGTACAGATTGTTTAGAAAAACTCAGAACTCTTTCACATAATGCCATGTGAAATATATTAACCAAATGTATAGCAAATACTTCATCATGAAATCTGTCTTTAAGTATATGTATAAAGAACCATATACTTTCTCTGTAATTTATAAATCCCAGGGGTATAAACCTGTCCAATACAGTACTGCATGTAAAATATCAATGATAGTTTTTTGATGATTCAGAACTTTATTTCAAGTTCTTTGCTCTTCAATATGACATTCATATGTATCCCTCCAAAATTTCAGACAGACTTCACATGTATTTCTCATGAACCACAAAAAAGACCTGACCTGACCAGAACAAATTGTATTTTTGAAAGTAACATGAGCAAAAATAAGCAGCAATTCCAATTTGTTAAAACTAATTTATCATTTAATTCCTGAGAGTGTAGAACTTGAGGAAAATTCCTACAATTTTGTTGCCTGGATTATCATGCATCCAACATCAATTTCATTGTATTTTGATGAACAAAGAAACATTTTGGACTGCCCTCATTGCTGTATTTCTTAGTGTTTGGAACATGCCTTATATTTATTCCTAATTTAGCTTGAAATTTAGAAATAGTGTCCATGAAGCTGAAGCATATAATTATGTGGAAAATGTCCCCAATTATCATTCTTTGAAAGTGAATTGATATGAAATTGTTTTTCCATGAAGAAATAAACTTTATTTTTTTAAATTTCATAGGTTTAAGAAAGTTTGGCAGTTGTGTATCCCTTTGGGGTGATATTTTGTGAATTGATCCAAAAATTTATTGACCAAACTAGTCAAAATTAATAAAAGAAATATACAGAAGGTTAGTTGTTTCTGTGTGAGTTTTCAGATACTCCTGTAATTTATGAATTTCAACCTTGAAAGGGAAAAAACTATAAGTCTTATTATTGATTTTAGCTGATTCTCCACAAGATTATCAGATTTTCATCATGAGCTTATAAAACTCCACTTGTGATTCTTTTTTTTTTCAACTGTTTTGAAAAAAGGGGCATGAGGTGAGTGGACCAATGAGATGGAATAAATGTGTGTGGGAAGTGAAGCCACATTGCCTGTGATTTTATCCTCCTTCCACTTGTCATGTGTTCTGTGGTTGGAAAGCTGAGGAAAATTCAGGATGAGCTTTCTGTTATTGGACCTGGTTGTGGGGATCTTCCTCATCATCTACTACATTTTGGAGTCATGGGTCCTGTTTTTCATCCCCAAGAGCCTGAGGATGAAGGAAATTGCTGGACAAGTGGCCTTGGTCACTGGAGGTGGCTCAGGGATGGGCAGACTCTTGTGCTTGGAACTGGCCAAGAAGGGCTGCAGAATTGTCACTTGGGACATTGATGAAGAAGGTAAAGAAGTGTTGCCAATTTGCTTTTTGTTAGTGGTTAAAAAGGAGGCCATCTAATTGCCTACAGCAAAAAAAAGGGCCAGCTTCATTTCCAAAATTCTCTGCTCATGTGAGAGAGATGCATCAATAATTTCATAACAATGTTTTGATAATCTTCAGCACTTTAAAATGTAGAATTGAAGGCCCTGAGAGGATGTTTGCCAGGATAATAGGAAATGTATGTCCAGATGTGGCCTCATATGTTTTGAAAGCAAATATTCTGGTTTGGGACAGAACTGTGTTCATATGTCTGCTGCCATGCATGTGCAAGATATATTTCAAGCTTCATTCCCTGTAAGATATAGAATTGATGAGAAAGTCATGTAATTATATGTGAAATGCATTTTATAAATGTATATTTTCCCAAAAAAATCTCATTCCACAAGTATATGTTTTGCAAAACTCATTATTGGCTGAATTTATATTCCTCATCATGCAGAGGTTTCCACAGATTAAANTAAATTGAATTATGTGCTTGAAACTTATAATTTTAAGCAGCTGGTGGAATTTGCATAGAAGGATTCCAAATAGAACCAATTGATTTTGATTCCTGAAATGAATATACATAACAAGTGGTAGCTTGAAATTCAACCCTGATCCATTATTGCCAGACTAGGGTCAAATTGCAAAGTGGTTGAATTGCAACACTTTGTAAAATTGAGAAATATCAGCAGAAAAGTGCAAACAAGTGGCCATAAAGCAGGTCAAATTTTGGTACAGAATTCAAATTGCCAGCCAACCTATCCCTGCAAATTCTACAATCAAATTTTGGGACAGTCAAATTTTGGGAGGTTGAATTGCCAGGTGACATCTCTGCCTTGATAAAATTATGTCATGGATTATACTGTTCTGTATTTATGAAGGTAACAATGAAACTGTGAGATTGCTGAGAGCATACCATGAGTCATCTTCTGTCAATAAGAAGCATGGGTTGGAAAGAGCAATAAATGTGGACAGTATGGTGTATGGGTTCAAGGTGGACCTGTGCAAAAGGGATGATGTGTTCAGGGTGGCCCAGTTGGTGCAGAAGGAAGTTGGCACAGTTGACATCCTCATCAACAATGCTGGTGTAGTGTCTGGCAAGTCCTTCTTGTCCACCTCTGACCAGCAGAACATTCTGACTATGAATGTCAATGCCATTTGTCATTTTTGGGTGAGTCATGGACTTGCATCATTATTGAAAGA